CCCCCCCCCCGCATTTACTCAACAATTATGCACATACAGATCATCATTACTGGGCAACATAATAAATACGCTGATTACCTTAGCAAGTTAACAGTTGGTAAACTTACATATGCTCATTTAAGTGCTCACAGACTCATGCCCAAGACCAAGACTCACAGAGTTAGTAAATCAGACTTGCTATCTTACCATGTGTCTCATCACATCTTAGTCAACCTCCCAAGAATTTAAACTGTCCATCCTAGTATAAGAGACAGTATGTAAAGAAAATATATTTTACAGGTACCCTGCAATCTGGAACAGTTCTGATGTTGAAATATAAAGAGCTGCCCGGTCTTTCCTTCCCACATGCTTAAACATGTCTTTCAAGTCTATGCTGCCTTCACCAAACAGAGGACAAGTACAAGCTTTGCATTTCAAAGAACGATTTGCAGTGGTGGGTGGTGAGGGGTACTTGACAGGTACGCTGTAGACTTTATTTCAGAAAATTTATATTTTCAGCACATAATTGAAAAGACTCCTCCCACCTTTGGGCTGCACACATTCCCTGACATCAGTGAGATAAGACTGACAGAAGCAGCTCATCAGAGACCTTCAGCAGGGAAGTCACTATAAGGAAAGATGCTTCAATTGCCCACACACAAGCATCCTGTCTTCTGAGGTGCCCTAGGACATCTGAAGCACCCACATGAGGCTGATAGCTGTAATATTGGCTATATAGGAAAAAGAGGCCAACCTGGACCAGGAGCTAGAAGCCAGGCAGGGCTACCCAGGGCATCTCAGACAGCACTAGACACTTATGTTTCAGCAAATTAATCAAGTTCTATGCTATTGCAGTTTGTCTGTTTTTATGACAAGCCAGGCAGAGAACAGGCAGGTTGCTGGTACATCACTTCTATCTGAGATCAAGGGGACTGCAGATGAGGCATGAAACACATGATGTGCCAGCACATCAACTTCTCTTCTGTAACCCCTGTCCTCTGCCAAAACAGCTGCCTCCAGTGCACATAAACTGGCTTTTGTGTCTGTCTGGGACTGTGGGTAGATGTGAGAGAGAAGCAGTAAAGGGGCCTGCACGCTAAAAGGGCATCAGTGAGTCCTCTTTCCAGGTGAAAACAGCCATGCTGAGAGCAGGCTTTCTAAGCAGCAAGTGTCCTAGCCTGATTTCCATTCTCCAGAAAACTCTTTCTACAAAAATACTACTCTGCAGTTTGACTCTATTCTGGCTGAGAGCGAGGCACTTGTCTGTGGTGTTAATTTCTAAGAATGTAGGCCTTGCAGAGGAAAGTGGACTTTAACAGCATCCATATGTGACTGTACACATGCCAACCCTTGTCATCTCCAGACACAGCAGGCTACATGTTGTCAGTGTCAAAGCAGTGCCATCAACTATGAAGATTTCATCCCCCCACTGAATTACTAGACAAAATTATAATTGTGCTGGCATTCAGTCTGCAGGGCAATTGCCTGGTAAACCACCACAATACAACAAACTCTCCCCTTCCATACGGTTTGAGTCAGTAGTATACCTTCATCCTCCCGCATCTGGTCTGCAGCAGTCTCCTGTCAAGAGAAAGCCCAGCCTCAGCCCATTCTCAGCCCATCCCCCACATGTCTGCCATCCAGCCATATTCCAGTGACACTGTGGTCCATGAACACACCAATTAAGGTTTGGCTGAATTGTTCAGTGGTCACTTTGGTGGTAGAGGAGGGGGCATGGAGAAGGAGCACATACATTAGGTGGGACAGAAGACCATACCTCTTGACACAGAGACTGTGACAGAATGACATCAGAGGAATTCTGATGAAGAGCAGCATGGTCCAGAGCAACACAAACACCTATGAGACAGCTCTGCAGCAATCAAAAGGCTAATCTGCTGCTGGGGTGGAGGCAGCTATCAGAAGAACGAGGAGGTTCTCCATTCACTTACTACTCAGAAGCAGCTACAAAAATGACAGCAGGAAAGTGCTATTGCACAGGTTGGCTCTTCCCTCCCATCCCTTTTGCTCATGCTGATAGGGATGCCTTCTCCTGTGGTCTGGAGCCAGGAAGGAATCGGTCCATGACACTGGCATATGACTGCTGCTCCTCACAAGGTTAAAAGCACTTACCAGTACGGGCAGGTCACCTTGTACAGACCTCTACTCCTTAAGTCTTCCTAGGACAGAGTCAAAGGTACAAGACTGCTGCAGAAGAATTGCCCCAGAAAATGAGGGCACTATGAAGAGGATAACCATAAATCACCAGAGTGTTTTTCTCCACAGGCCATCAAAGGCTGAGAAACTTTCACTTTTTTTCCCCTGTATGAAGCAGCATTAGCCCCAGTAACCCTATAGTGCCCACGTCCAACCCTTGGGCAGGGCACAGAGACTGCAGACCAGGAGGGAACACCTCCATGAGGGCATCCTAGTCACTGCAACACAAGCCACTTGCAGACCAACAGAGCAGCAGGTGTACCAACCCAAGGAACTGCTCCTCTTCTAGCTGTCAGGACGTTATCTCTGACAGGGTGAGGATAAGCATGGCAAGGTGTATTTGCAAAGGCAAGGGAGTGTAAGCAGAACTACAAGCTCCTTCATAAACTATGCTGGCTCTTCCCTGCAGTTACCCTCAACATGGACCCAGAGCTGCCTGTCCTAGCTGCAGAAAACCACCACCATAAATTCCTCTCCTGCTTTGAGGTCAGCTCTCTGGTGCATGAGGGCACCTCTTGCGCAGTGTACTGCCACCCAACCAAGGGGGCTCCAACACATGCAGAGTCACAGCAGCCACTTAGGCTGTGCCAACCAGGCACAGTGCCTGGTAGTTTCTGGCCACATCAGTCACTTGTCAATCTAAACTTAGGTGGCTGGCCAGTGGCCACACTGGCCTCAGTAACAGTCCCATTGGCCAATATTCTGTGTTTTTACTCCTTGTAAACCACACCGACATACCACACTGACCTTTATATGAATTGCTGCAGGTATACTGGCCAAATTTGCTGTGCTGCCCACACAGCCAAAAGAAGTTGTTCACAGCTGCTCTTAAATATTATACTATACTTTCTCATCAATGAGTGGGCAGGAGGAGGAGCAGAGTGGGGGATGTTTCCCATACATGAAAATGGCAGCCCCGAAAATTTGAGGCAAAGCCTTATGAGGTTCTTAAAAGCTTTTAGGTCTCAGGAAATTAGTTTATGCATTTAGGTTTAACAGGACTTAATGGGTTAAGTATAACAGATGGTTATCAGTCTACAAATAGCAGAATGGTGATTACAGGCACACTGGATGATGAGAAAGTCAATGCTTTGTGGTGGTGAAAAGTGTTTATGCGCTGGTTAGAAGTGAGGATGGGTTCTGCATTCCCTATCAAGAAGGACATGTTACAGAGTACATTTGTGTAGGAGCCAGGATTTTAGATTTTGTTTTCCTTAGTTGTTCCACCATGGCCTCAAATTTACAGACTATGCATTTTATGTTTTAGAAGTGACTGTAGTGGGCACACTCTGGGCATGTATGACTTGGGATGGGTATACACAATTGTGGTGGGATTGCCCTGGGACATCCAGGGTCCACAGCGGTAAAGGCAATGCCTGTTACCCCTTCTGTTCTGATGCAGTGGGAGTAATGAAATCAGACAGCCAGTTTCTAGGTGTGGTCCAT